GGCAAAAAGTTATTCAGTCCTAACAGCCCTTGGCAAAATGCGCCAAAGCCAAGCAATCAAAAGGACACCCAGTCGGCTCCCGTCGGCGCCTTGAGGGAGGAATGGCTGCAGTACACCTCGGGAAGCGTCGCCATCATCGCGGCCATGAACTCCACGAAGTTCAAAGCGCCGGAGCCTGCAAGGTCAACCACTCTGCTTGGAAGCTCGAAAGGAAAAGGCTCCCTCTTTAAAGACAAATTTGGATCCCAACGGCTCCCTTGCAAATATTTTGGGGACCAACTAGCATGTCCTTCCAGAACTGCAAGTTGAAATACCGGCTCCTTGGCTCGCTTCCAACCACCAGCTGGCCAAGGTGCATAGGTGTCCTTTTGGTCAACCAAGCAGGACATGGGTGTCTCTTTTTTTGACTCGGGTCCAGAAGGGAAACCTACCATTTTGCGGGGTCCCCTTTAAACACTCAAGTGTTTTTGGGACCCAGAAGGTGGGTTTCCCTTTGCTCGGGGACGGGGGGTGAATGCGACATAGAACCACTACAAAGCCAAAAACAGGGAGGGTACCACATGTTCCTCTGGAGAGTACTGGCTTGCCGGAGTGGAACCAGTTGGGATCGAAAACCTGAAACCGCCAAGCACCCGACGTGGATTTTGTAGGTGCGATGTTTCTTGGCCATATGGGAAACGCAGAGAATCGAATATCTTTTCAGATGTTGTTTTGTACTGTGGACAACATCCGCTTCGCACCAGTTGGGAACTCATCAATTATGCTTGGTTGCTGTCGACCCCTCTGCAAAGAGTTTAGCTTTCTGTTGGTCCACTGGAACATCCGACTTGTTTGCTAAAAAGTTATTTCAATGATCCAACCAAGTAGCCATAAAGTATAGGGCTTCACGTCTCCCACTGCGTTTTGCGGATATCGTCCCCATTTGATCAAGCTACCCAGACAACCTCCGTGGGTGGATTCTTGCCAACACCTTCCAACTCTCATGGAAGTTCCCCCTGCTTGTGGCACCGCATTTTTTCTGTGGCTCACCCTGCTAGAACAACGGGACCTTTTTTGGGGGTTGACCATGTTTGGCAGAGATGAAACTGGTATCCAAAGAACAACTGAGAGCATGAGCAATACCCAATCTGTGGCATTTAAATCATGATTCCCTCGGGTATCATTGCCAATAGTCAAACATCTATTTGGATATGTCAAACACTCAGCGGTAAGAGTCAAAAAGAAAGGCAAAACACTAAAACTCCCAAGGAATCGTATCTGAACTTCAAGGAAGCTAGAAGTTTAAGAATGGCTGGAAAGCGCCCAAACAAACGGATTGCCTCTCTGTGCCACTGAAAACAAAGACCAAAAAAAAAGTCTGGCCTTTTGAGTTCAAGTGAAGGCCGGCACCCCGGCGGGCAAAGGAGCTTCGCAGTCGAAGGGTCCTAACTTGATGTTTGAACCATTGATTCACACCCCTCAAATACGGGATCCCTTTCCTTTCCTTTGAGCCTCGTCCATGCGACAGGGGTTAGGGGGGCAAAGGCAAGATGGGAAAGCTGTCATCCCTTGTACCATAAGGAATCCCAACCGGATGCGAAAAATCGCTCGGTCGAGTCGCTGTGTTGACTCAAATCCAGCGGACACGTTCCGACCACAAGACGCTTTCCGCTTGGCTCCGTTTTCGGGGAGACCATTCACCCCCCGGAATCGAGCAATGGGCCAAACTCTGTGGGTTGCCCAGTCGAGTCGGTTTCAACTTAAGTCGGGTGTACAAAAGTTGGAGATATGTTCAGAGCATCATCCACGAGCCTTTTCCAAAAGTCCACGAACTTAGGGCTTTCTTCGGAAAGCCGGGCACCCGTTTCCATTTGTGTCCAAACAAATGCCCAGCTCGGGCTGTTCTCGGTTCCCCCGCGAAAAGTCTAACCACTAAACACTAAGAGTCACTAAGATCTAAAATGCGAAGTTGAAGCGGATGGCTTGCCACCGAGCGAACGCATCTCTCCTCGATCCGTTTTCTCCGTTTCCAATCCGAATCCATCGAGGCGATCGGTGGGCCTGACAAATCCGCAGATCTGAAGAGCGCCGCGAAGTCCTGAGGCGGGGGAGGTTGGGGTGGGGGTGGACAGCTTGGGGGAGTGTGTTGAATTGTGTTGAGGGGGAGGGGGAGATTGGAGGTTTGGGGGGCCCCTGTCTGGTATTCCCAAACCGATTTCGTCCAAACACGTCGTCATCAGAACCGGTCGGACCAAAAAAATCTGGGATTCTCCCTATCCTTCCACCCCGCATCGGTTTCGAGAATCCCAGCCGCTACCTCGCCGCTCCAGTGACTCAACTCGGCTCCGAGAGCTTCGGTTCCAAGGGGTTTGCTCAGATTCGCGAGCCCATCTGTGGGTTCGTCTCCCAACAGGACCCCGGTTTCGGCTCACGTGAGGCATCCTGCGGAAATCGCCGGTTTAACCGCCAAATGAGCGCATTAGGTCTTGCGCAGCGGAATCTCCACGTGAGGTGCCGAGTTTCTGAAAGATCTGCTCCCTATGGGCTGGCATGAACCAAAAGTCTTGATTGAAACAAAGGAGCCTAACTCAAAATCAGCCCTCCAAATTGCACCATCTTAAAGCAAACCTTAGTGAAGTGGATCTTAAAACGCTAGGATCACGGTTCACGAAACGGCCCCGCGTGTTTTAGAGGCTTGCAGCAAGCCGGGCTTCACGAGATACGTGGCAATTACCAATGAATTCTTAAGTGCCCCCTACCCACTCTGCAAACAACCGCGTGAAGCCGTGAGACATCCTCGTGCAAATGTGCCGCGCGTTTCATCTCTGGCCTTTGTCAACGCACAGGTGGCGGATTCAACTTGCGAGCAAAACCACCTGTGCCCTGCCACAGTTTAATGTGGTTCTGTCGAAACTGATAGCAATCTTCCCGGCGGAATAAATGCCGAAAGTGTTTTGCATGATTTGCAAAAATCAACTCAAACGCCACTGGCAAAAAGAGGACCTCGACCAAAAAATGACTGGAAAATACGTGACGGATTTAAAGTGCATTTGCACGAAACCGAGCGAAACGCCGGCCGGCGCCTTCATCGGCAAAACGCTCTCCACAAGGCATCTAAGCATCTAGATCTTTCGCTGTCAGGGTCAACAGATCAGATTCGCTGATCAAAGCCGGACTTGATGGAAGCAAAGGCGTTCGCAGCAATGATCTGTGTGTAAGACTCAGGCGGCGAACACGCTTGAGCGGGTGCGCTTACCAATTGCGAAGACGTATGCGCAGTGCTAAGCGAGCACGCTTCACCATTTCGGCAGGCGTGTGCATATGTGTGTGTGTGCGCAGTGCTGAGCGGGCACGCTTTGTTGCGTATGCTTACCATTTGGCGGGCGTGTGCGCAGTCCTGAGTAGGTCCGCTGTCAACAAGTGCAAAAACGCAAGTACAGTGTCCAATCCGATGGCACAATCTTCTTATCTTGCAGACAGCCCTCTGTTGTTGTCTTTGTGTTTCGCCGCGACAATCTCGGAGGGCACTCCCTCTGTCATGCCTTGCTTGCATCGCGGTGAATGAGAGGAGCAGGCTTTGCCTTCTTTACTCTGCAAAGCAGACCCGACGCACGGACATGTGCAATGGGGTTCCCAGTGTTCTCACATACAGTTTCTCCAAATGGCAGACCCCCCTTCGGTAGGCAGAAAGGGAAATCAACAGGAATTACCACGATGAGCAGCGACCAAACACCTATTGACTCTTGGTTCTACCATGGTTTCGAGACGCTGGAGCCAAAAAAAACCTCCGACTGGAAAACCATGAAGCCCCGAAGTCTTTTTGGGGCTGATCTACTCCACCGGGCCGCTTTGGGCCGTTTCGGCCCGTTTTGGGGCGCGAAGCGTGCGAAGCGCCCAGGGGTCCTGTGGGACCTCTTCGCCGGAATCCAACAAGGCCTGCTGGAAGGCGTCTTCCTAGGCCGGAATTGGCAAAACGCGCGGGAGGGATTCATACACATCCTGGCAGATGTTTGTTATATAAAAAGATTTGTTTAATAAATATCCGACCAGTTTATTGATTGGGGGGTGGGGTCCCCTCCAACAGTGGTCTGATTCCCAACTAAATCCAGGGACATCCCCTATGACTAAACTAAGCGGGGGCAACAGTACAATTGAGATGAGGAAGCATCCCCAAAGCGCCTTTTCTCGTGGATGCAATTCTTCTCAAAGGGCAATCGGAACCCAGTTGCGTACCTTTTAGTGGAAACGAAGGAAACAGATTCGGGATCTTTTTCGAGGGCCAAACCCCGGCAGTGTGAGGGGTGCCTGTTTTAGGGGGCACCCCGTTTTTGGTGGTGTTCAAGGGAGAAATAATGGGAAAACCACCATTTGGGGGGTCCCCTCAAAAAAAACAACACCCCCATGTCTATGAATCGGTCGACAACTGAAAAATCAGGTGCCTTTCGCAGCCGACACGACCGCCCAAAGGATTCATTCACCCGTCACTTTCTAGAACGGGCATGCAATCAACCGATTCCAAGACTCCAACTTGCAGAGTTGCCATCTGGGATGCATCCTTGACGTCTTGGATCGCATTGGCTGATTCACCCTGTGCGATTTTCCGGATGTATGTTTTGGGGATTTGTTTTCTGTTGGCCCCACCAACGCTCCCACTTTGCATTGTGGCGATCGATCACCTCAACGGCAGCCTTCGTTCCCAACGGCCAGATATATATGTTTCGGTGGTCAGAAGCCAAAGACTGCTAGATCTATCAATAATGGGATATAGCACCTACCAACTGGTACAGGAGTTGGTCCATCCACAGGCTAGATCCAACAGCCGCCTGGACGCGTGCAAAACAATTGAGATGCATGGGCTTGGCAAAGGGTACTATGTTCTCACCAAAGTGGTTGGAACAATGGCTGTATCAACTCCAAGGTCTGCTGGCTCAACATCAAGCCCGGGAATTCGAGCATCTTCAGAAGAACTTCAGCTGACTGTGTCCAATCGGTTGGAATCTGCGGAGTAAAGGCGTACAACCCAAGTAAGGGTTCCCGGGAAAACACGAATTCCCATTTCCCTGCAGATATCCAAAGCCAAACTTCCCCCACCCGGGTCCTTGCCGTTCGGATTTGGGCTGGGAGAACCATTTACGCGAACTGCAGGGGTCTAATGGGTGCCCCAAAACACCGGGTGAATCCCCCAAACGTGCACAACGGGCTTGGTGGGTTCCATCTTAAACTGCAGGCGCCGCACCGGGACATTTGGCCCATATAAAGATAGATGCATTTGCCAGTCAGTTTTGAGCATGTCCGGTTGAAACCACTGGGCAAAAACAGATTAAGCACCGTGGGGAAGGGAAACTCGGTCCAACCGCATGGAAAACCCTACCACTGGCCTCCACCAGCCATCCATCGCGCGCCAGAAATCTGAAGACCCAGCGCACGCCTCCCACCTGGGGGAGCAAAAAAACACCTCGAGGTTCACGGGCAACTTGAGAGGCTAAACAATCTTCCATTTGCTTAAGCCCCGTGGAAAAAACAAAAATATTCAAGTGATAGATTCCCTCTAAAAACTAACAGGGGAATAAAAAATGGTCTTAAGCAATTCGTAACCCGCTGCTTCCATGATCATGAAAGGTATAGAACCCCGCTCTAATTTGTTTAGGCCCTCATAGAAACAAGTTGGCAATGCCAACTTGTTTACTCCCTGTCGATACCCGAAAGGGTGTAGAGGAAGTTTGTCCTTTTCTCTCGGGGGGGGGGAGGTCCATGGATCACCTCCGAAGCCAGAGCCTCCTAAAGGTTCGAACGTGCGAGAACAGAGGCCGTGGCACTGGCCGGATGGAAAGTTTTCAGCGGTTCCGATTTCTCTGAAATCTTGGTTGACGTTGGAAGGGGAGCAACATGTCCATAGCAGTTGAGTGGGGATTTCCCACTAAACCGCAATAAGCAAAAATGTAAAAGGTGTCCCAACAACAACCATGAAATGAGCTTCGCCATAAGTTGAGATGGTTCTCGGCCATAAGTTGAGATGGTTCTCGGGCCCTGTGCGCCAAGCGGCTTGCAGAAGGGCAGAGACCCCTTTTCACCCACTGCCATGCTTGGTATGTGAGCTGCGGCCATACCCAGCTCGTGGAAGTTGTCCTGTTCACCCAAACAAAGGCCCCATGGCATCACAGACCCAAACTTGCCCTGCAAGTCTTGTCAATCTGAGGGTGTATTCGCCGGGCCCTACATAATCCGTTCAGGCATCCTTCTCTTGAAACCCTAAAACATGGGTGGTCTCTCCGTGGCCAGCTTTTGCGACCTCCAAACTCCCATGGCAGAAAAGAAGCAAAGTTGTACGCCCCACCAAACATGGAGTTCCCAAGAAGAGGTCCGTCCCAGGAAAGACAGGGGCCATGCATTTCTTCGAACCCCATTCACCATGGGAGCCCTTTCATTTGTCCCCCAGACTGGTGGGGCTGCTTTTTTTCTCGAAGGAATCTTTCGCCACAAGGAAACCAATTGGAAAACTCTCGTCAGGGGTCCCCCTGAGATTCGAATCCCGACATTCCCCCAACTTCCCACAGAAGCCCTCTTGGTTGCAGTGGTGAGTCTGGAGCTTCCCAGTTACCCAGTTGCCCCGGGATCGCCTCATCGCCCAGCAGGTGTGCTGCCACCAGCAGTGCCTTGCACCATTTCACCCCCCGAAAGCGCCCAATTTGGCGCTTCATTGGGCCGTTGGCGTTCGATTCGACCCTCGGCGTTGGATTGCCATCTTCAACATGGCTTGGCTTCATTTGGCGTCTTTTGGCACAATGTGGCACAATTTGGCCACTTTTGGGAAGCCCCCTGCAGTGGACCTTTCGGGTTTCTTGGATTCGCCCCCCCTCCTCACAAAACAAGGGGCAAATATCCCCTAGCCTCCAAGCCGCCACTGTTTGCTGGCAACAGAAATTGATGGGAAACCCGAAAGAAAAACTTTGAACGGTCAGCTTGGTGCAATGAAACCTCCGAATCAGATTGTGTGTTATCCTTATTTTCCCAGGTTGCCCCAGAGCTATTTGCCAAAATGTTAGAACTACTTCAAATGTTCACGGATGTGTTCTAGACCTATCTCATTTTCCAAGGGTGCAACTCTGGAACTATGTCCTCTTCTTCTTCTGCTGCGCATAATTACGATGGACCCCAAATGCGCTTCCTTCCTTGCCACCGCCTTCTTCTTTGTAGGGTGTCTTTTTTGTGCGGGCTCTCGGCTGCAACGCGTCCCTGGCACGGGGAGGGGAGAGGGCTGGCCGATTCATTCCGCCCGCGGAACTGGGCCCCGGGCCAGGCGCTTGATCCTGGGCGCCTTCGCAAAGGCGCGCAGCGCCGGCGCCTGGCGGAGCGAAAGGCGCTCAAAGGCGCAGTTTGGCTCGACGGTCCGCGGACCTTTGTGACCGATGGTTGTGGAGCTCTTCCCGAAAAGTCCGGCCGGGGTCTTTGGGGGGGGGTTTGGGTGTGGGGGCTTGGGTTGCGGGGGAAGGGGGGGCGGGGTTGGGGTTGGGAGGTTGGGAGGTTGGGGTTGGGAGGTTGGGAGGTTGGGGTTGGGGTGGATGGGGGGGTTCAGGGGGTTGGGGGAGGAGGGGTGGGCGGCACGCCAGAAATGTTGCCAGGGAGTCTTCCCGAAAACAATCCGCCCATTGCCTGCGGTCTGAGGTGGGGGGGGCAACGTGGAGGGATGGAGGGGAGGAGACTCTCAGAAAATGGTGCCCGTGGATTTTTTCGGGGGTTTTGGAAATCCTTATGCTTCCCCTCCCCAAAAAGGACGGGTCCACGCGTTTTGTTGGCAAAAGGTGAAATGGGCTCGGGTTTGTTGAGTGCAAACAAAGATCACTGACTCTGCCACTGAACTTCCCCATTTTCCGCAGACATGACCCTACCCCAATGGAGGGGTAATCGATTTGTCTTGGTGAATTGGGGTACAACCCTGACGGTACAGCTCAGCTTTCCCTTCTTTAGTGTTTTGGATTGGTGCTTTGGATTGGCGGCCAGGGGGTGCCTTTGTATGCTTGAGACAAGAGTCCCATTTTGCAGGAATAATATGATTGCACAGGAAAAGCGATCCATCATTGCGGGGTCCTGATCTTTCTAAAGCAAACATGAGTGGGGATCCAGTTTTGGCTTCATTTCAAGAAAAGCCCAAAAGGCAACATGTTTGAGGGCTTCACGATTGGGGAAAACACCCCGGTGCAAGCAAGAAACCCAAGAGGGTGTGCCCAATTTTGAGACATGCCCTACCGGAAAACAGTGCCAAACCTGCACAGTGACCGAAGAGTCATGACCCCAGCTTTCAAGAACACATCTGTTCTATAACCTTGCTTTGGAGCCCAAGAAACAACTTGTAGCCCAAAAATAGCTGATACAGAAGGCCAGGAGACTTGTCGGGTAAGGGAATCCAGAAGTGATTCACTAGTCACGGGAACGGGTATCGACCGCACCCCGTTCATGCTGCTGGGTATGAATTTGAGCTGGGGATGTTTGGTGGAGATCATTTCAGTGATTCATGTCCAACAACCGTGCGCAAGGTATTCCTCATTACCCTCTTTCCAACACTCATGAAAGTGGACTAGGGGTGACCCCAATGGAGAGCAGTCTTCCCAACCCTGCTGAGGGAGGTACAATTCTGAGGCCAGCTAAACATTCGCAATCTCCAAACTTCCGCCGGCTCGGCGCATCCCGCGAGCTTTCCTGGGCGAGAGGAGACGAGGAAGAGAAAGAGACAAAGCAAGTAGCGGCCACAAAAACCACAAGCTGCAAACTACAGCTGAAATACTTCCGTCTGGCGTTCTGCCAGACAGTGCCAGCAGCTCCCTGGTTGACACCCTAGTGACCCAACGCTCAGGCGCGGGCGACGGTTGCTTCTGGACTTGATCAGCGTTGAGCTGGTACTGGGGTTGGGGTCATCCACCTCGCGGCCGAAAAGAGACGAACTCGCTTTCTTCTCACAAAACGGAAACCGAAAAAAGAAAGAAGTGCCTTGAAAGGGCCCCATTTACACAAAAAGTGACTCAGTCATGCTCTTTCCAGCAAGGCGCATTTTAAAAAAATGGAACCCACAACAGTATTTGTTGTAGGGAAACCACCTGCTGGGAGTAATCTCATGGGGGACCCCACAGATGGCGGGGGTCCTCTCGGATTCCCTTCAAAGCATCCCCAGAAAAAGCTACGCAACAGGCAAAGGGAAACCAAAAACCAAACCCTTTCCCGTTCCGGTTAGGAAACAGGCGCCCTGCCCATGGATGCAACACGGCTTCGCGGAACCGGATGAACCACTGCAAACCCTTGCCATGTGGATGCAACTTGTTTTGCGCGATTTAAGAGAACCCGCACGCCAATCCTAGCTGTTCTTTTTGTCTGCGCCCATTTAAGAAACGGTCGGCCAAAACATTTGGATGCCGCGAAAAGGGCGTGGACAAATTTGTAAGCTATTGAATTTTGTAGCTGTGATTCTGCGAGCCTCTTCAATTGACCGCAGACCGCTCAATATTTCAACTGAACGCCATACGGTTCATGTCGGTCATGTTCATGGGCCCCTAGATGGGAATGATTGCCTGGGTTGTCTCATGTAGTAGCTGAATACTTTCACGTACCCTTCAAACACGTGCCGCACGAAGGAAACTAATTGGACATTGCAGAAAGATAATGTCCAAAACAAAGGGAATATTTAGTCGGACCCTGTTTGAACGAAACAGGAGCCAGCCCCCTTAAAAAAAACAAAGTGCCAAAAGCATCCAAGAGGATGCTTTTAAACACGCCCAAGCCAAGCCAGCCTGATGGCGAAGGTTGGTGACCTTTAGTTAGGCACCATTGAGGACCTGGGGTCATGACCTTCCCTGCTATTGCGCCATAGCGGATTGAGGGTCATGACTGCAGAGCCCCATCAGTCGAACCCGAAAAACGCCTTAGGGCCGAAGGGCTGGGCTTACCCTGCGGCCCCTTCGCCCCCAAATAGCCCCAAACCCTAATTTGCCAGTTTCATGAGAAATCAAACACCCGGGGATGTATATATGTATGTATGTAGGTATGTATGATTAACCCCAGCATCAGCAGTGTAGCAGAGGACACGCCTCTCAGCTGGCTCAACGTGGACGTCGCTCATGCCCACAAGCCCCAGCGACTCCAAAAGGGAAAGCAAACTGGCTCCAAAAGTCGAGTCGCCGCAGCAAAAGGGTATCAGGCTGAAAACCCACCCCTCAAACCATGGCCATGGGTCAAAATCCCGTACCCCCAGTGAACATCCCAATCTCCACTATAGACTAAAATGGGTGGTGCACCTACCCCAAACGGGATCCCATTGGTTTTGACCCACAGCCACATGTTCTCAACCAGGGTTGCGTTTTAAACCCAATTCTGGCGCCTTCTTCCCGGGTGCATCAAAAGAAACAACAACCAACGGCCTGTCCCTGCTGGAGGGCATAGGACTGCACCACCAGCGGATGCTGCAGGGCCTGCTTTTTGGGAAAAACCCGCAAGCGTAGGTGTCCATCTATTTTTCTAGCAAAACAACCAAAAAGGACACCTATGCCCGCAGGATTACCCAGATCCTATTGTCCTATTTGGGCTGCGATTTACCAGGTGGTTTGGTGGCGAATTGGAGGACGGATTTACCAATTGTGCTTATTTGTTCCTTTTGGTTAAAGGCTGGCTCCCTTGGTTCCTATACAATTTCAGCTTCCGGTTTGCATTGGTGGTTCTGTTCAAATCCAAATCCAAACCAATCCAAAGACAAAGTGTTTCCTGACAAATGGATTCATTGGCTGCTGGGGATGCCTGCGCTTATTTTCCTTTTGATAGGTTGGCTCTCTTGGTTCCCCACACAAATTCAGCTTCCCTCGTTGCTTGGTGGATTGGAGCTCAGTTTGGCGGTGAAAGAGGGGTTTTTCATTCGTTTACAAGAGCCACCAATCCAAACCACCAATCCGAACCACCAGTTCTGGGTTACCAGACAAATATAAGCGACCAACCAAGTCAACCAAGCAAAAAAACCACGAGCAAGGCTCGCCAAGAACCGACGGATCAAAAACCACGAGGTTCCTCCCCTCCCATGAAAACCATGGCGGCTCATGCCCCCCATTTTAGTTTGGGTAGTCAGAGGTTGACCGTTTCCAGGGAACACCACCGGGACCATGTGTGAAGCCACACGACTGGGCGAAACCAAAAGCTAGGCGAAACCAAAATAAAAAAAAAAAAAACAGAAGAACAAAAATACTCTTGGCTTAGTGGTTGCTGGGTGTGTTAAAAGTTGAACTTGTTCTGCGCAAACAACGCCCGGCTTCCGTGTGGAAGAACCGGCCATTTTGGCTTCAGACGTCGCAGCGCTCCCTCACATGTTTTTTGTTGGGGAGCTAGGGGTGCGTGGTGTCAAGAGTTGATCGCGTTCACATGGGTGTTGTTTTTTCTCTTCGCCGAGTTCGGTATGTCATAAGCCCCGAGCTAACGGGCCAGCCTTGGACCCAGGAAGTCGGACCCAGCTGAGGACCGGAAAAAGTCGCTGAAGATATGGCTGCGGCTCAAAAAAACGGAATTCCAAAATCAACCCTGATGTAGAAACATGGACCAAGACCTGCGGTTTGCCCCTCCGGATTAATTTTGAGCCACACCCATATTCCTTCCCCAGGTCATCCCTTCCCCCCTTCGGGACAATCTCAGGCTCCGACTTTCTGGGTCCCCTTGTTGGGCCCCTTTGACTCAGCTGGAAGTCTCTGGAACCGTATGGCTCACCACCAAACATCAACTCCCGCGGCGCACCAAGACACGTGTTTTTCTGGAGGCTCCGAACCAAATTTTCGAATTGGGTGTTCAAGGGAAGAGGAAGCCACAAACATTTTTTGGGGGAAGCCCTCGATTTTTGAGACATACCTATGTGTTCGGTGTCTGCTCAAGTAGTCCACCCGAAAGGTATATAACCATTTTGGAGACCCCGGAAATAGGGTTGCTCTGTTCCGCCTTACACCCAAGCTCTTTTGGCATGTTGAAACTCCCTGGTCGTTTTAGGAGCCTGGAAACAGGTTATGGTCCATTTAGCAGCCTAACACCGATGCAAACCCTAAACCCTAAACTCCAAAATCTGACTCAGTCTGCCCCATTCTGGCACACAACTTTCTGGCTGCCGCCCCCTGCAAAACAGGTTCAGCTTGTTGCGGCTGGGAAGAAAACAAAAGAAAAAAACTCCTTCAAACAGTTTACAGGTCCAGGAGCCAAATACTCACGGGGGAACATGGAGACCCCCTATTACTCAACCCCAGTTTATTAATAGGAAGTGTCCCTGGGTGCAATGTAGGGGAATCAGGCCAATTTTAGAGGGGTTTCCAAGCCCCCCCCCCCCCCGATTAAAATAAACCGGTTGGTGGATGAAAATATGGGAGTCAACATTCAACGCACAACATGGTTGATGTTGGTCTTCCTTCCAGTATCCAAAAAGAGTGTGTCCTTTTCCCCCCCATGACAACCCCTCCTTTCAAGGGACACCCAGAAACACCCCCCTTTTAATAGACTCGGGTTGATTAATATTGGGTCAAAACACCTCTACCAACTCCTTGCCATACTTCGCGGATTTCACGCGATCCGACCAGACGAGTTCCGCGCCTCCTGCGCCGCGATCCGCTGCTCGGTGCCTTGCTCAAGCATCCGGGACAGCAAATCCAGGGCCTGCGCCGAGCGCTGGGCTTGGGGGGTCTGGGGGTGAGGTTTGGGGTCACGAAGAAATAGCCGAAGGGTCTCTGCCAAGAACCGGAGTGGTTCAGAACTTGTCTTTGGGGAAAAGTAGCAAATGGGGTCTTCAGAATGTTGAGTGAGAAGGAGCCAAATGCACACTGTGGGTCCAAGCTTTTCCTCCCTGTCTCTTTTTGGGGGGACACCCCAAAAACGGTTGGCTTTTCTTTTAGTTTACCTTCAAAACCAAGGATCACTAGGGATAGTGGGAGAGTCCCCAAGGTGCAGAGAGATCCCCGGCAGTATCAACCGGCTGATTCATCCGCACTGTCCGTTCGGTCGTAAGAAAAGAAGGATGCTTGAAAAGATTGGTTGGAACCAACCCCTAGGACAAAGTACAAAAACAAGTCCATAAACTCAGGAGCTTAGAAAGATTCTCCCATGGTTGGAACCTGCTTTGTTCGACGCGGTAATGGCCCCGTCCTCCTCTGATGCCTCCAGCTGCTTCAATTTCGCCGGCACCTGCGGCCGAAGGTCAGAAGAAGCCGGAAGTGAGCCAAGTGGTTCTCTCCAGCTTCTGGGCTGTCCTCAGATGCCCTGCCAAAAGTGACTAAATTTTCAATGATACATGGACATGAGAGGATGGCTGGGACCATCAAGCTTCGGGATGCCAGTGTTCAGAGGTTCCAGTAGATGGACTCCGGAAGCTTGCCGAAGCAAATGATGTGGGGGGGATCCAGGTGACAATACATGGGGGGGGAGCTAAACCAAACTGGGAAAGTTGTGCAATCTACTTTCATCCTGAAGCCGATGTTTAAGGCCTTTGAAAGGGCCAGCAAAAGGAAGACTGTAACCCCCTACACCCTTGCAAGTCTTCAAAAATCCTTGAGTCTTCAAAGACAAGTCCAAACTCCAAGCTGTCTGCTCATGTGGCCGAAGCCCACAAAGGATTCACGGTCCTCCAGTAGAGAGGTTAGAATAAGGGTACCCTTTTTTCTGCAGTCAATGGGCCACCAAAGGCCCACACCAAAAGACCAGCCACAAATGGAGCCCTGTTTTTGGTGGTCTAGAAGGGAAACCAAAAGGAACTTCCCACCATTTTCGGGGATCCAACCATTTTGTGGGATCCACCCTGTTTTTGGCGGTCTATAAGGGATCCCACCATTTTGGGTTGGAGGTCCCCCCCCAAAAAAAAAAAAACGCCCGCCCCAAATGGGGCGCTTTGGCCGCCCCGCGTAATTCGGATTGGTGGCGCAGGGCAGCAGGCCGAGAGACTCCGAGCCCTCCTCGCCGACACGCCGACGACAAGTTGGAAAACGAGAAGCCAGGAAAAACTGGACGGCGAGGCGAGAACCAGTTGTCTACCCACCCAGCCCCTCCCAAAAAAACCAAATGATCATAATAACAATAAGAAGAAGAGGATCAATAAGAATAATAATAATAATAATAATAATAATAATAATAAAAAAAAAAAAAAAAAAAAAAAAAAAAAACGATAGTAATAATGATCGGGGAAGATGCAAAAACATCTTGAAACATGACAAGCCTGTCTTAAACAAAACAAACAACGCAACAACACATATTGAAACATGCAAACCCTGTCTTAAACAAATACTTAAAACTGTCTTAAACAAGCATTTAATGCGAAAGCACATCTTGAAAGATGAGAATGTCTGCATCAATGAGCCAGTCAGCAAACAACCCGCATGAAACGCCGTCCTCTCACAAATGGAGAACCCGCAGCGACAGTTTCGGCCCAGGAGATCTGCTGGCAACTGGGCGGGCCCCTAAATCCTCTTCTACAAGTTTAACTTTTGTTAGAAAATGGAACCCCCTCCCGACCAAAACCCTAAAAAAAAGAAAAAAAAGAGAAGGTTCCTTTGAGCCTGAAAAAGAGGACCCTCAAAGAGAGTACAAATTCGGAGGGGTGGGTTGTTTCCGCGGGCAAGCCAACCAAGCTCGAATTCCATCTCTCTTCCTTTTATCACTCCCAGGAAAATTGGAGAGGAAAACATGAGATCCATTTTGGACACCTGGTTGGGAGCTCGTCTTTCCCCCAAACATGGCTTCTGTCGGTCCTGAAATTTAGTTTTTGCCTGTAGCAGAGGAAACACGCGGCGATTCCCCCAACTACCCGTCCGTTTTGGTTTCCGATGGCCGAAAGACACCACCCCAACAGCCCCTCCTTGATCACCGGCAGCAGACGAGTGCCTGGCACCACTCGACTGTGACCAGCTTAGAGGAAGGAAGCTCCGAGATGGCCCCCGAGTCCGGAAAAACATGGAGGAGTTCTCTTGTTTAAAAAAAAGCTCCTCCAGTAGAGAGGTTAGAATAAGGGTACCCTTTTTTTGTAGTCTATTTTAGTAGGGGAACCCTCCCCCCAAAAAAGGGTAAAAGGGCACTACTGGAGGACCTAGAAAACATGGGTCGGGTGGGGAGAAAACTCCTGAAACTCTCTTGGAGTACACCACCAACTAACATGGAAGTGCACCAAAGTTTGGGGGAGAAAACACCAGGGTCGCGGCTCAAAATCAAAGAGCCAGGGCAAACCGCTGGCTTTTTCGTCTTTGGTTCCATTTACCAAGGTGCCATTTTGGGCTCCATGTTTCGGAGCCGTTGCCACATGGAAACTCTCTTGGAGTTTGTCTTTGGAGGATGTCCCTGGCTCTCCGTCGCTCGCGCGGGCCCACAAAGGTGGGCATGGGAAATACGCACGGGACCCTCCATTGGAAGGTGTTCGTCAACTATACCTTCCGTTTACCTGGTTTCACACTTCAACCTGAAAAACAAATACACATGGGGACCCCAAAACATGAACTTGGGGTTTCCTTTTAATGTTGACCCCATATTAATCAACCCCCATCTTAATAGTGAAGAATCCTAGAAACACTCCCGCATTAATAATCAGGGGTGTATTAATAAGGTGTCAACATTAAGGTGAAACGGGTCGCTACACAAATCGCCCACATCCCGTGCTGCCCTGCCCGCCTGACAGCATCTGGTACAGAATGGTACCAACCTGCGGTCGAAACTCGGCCGAAGTTCCGAACCGAAGTTCCAAAACCGACTTCGTGCTTTTCTCTCTCATGGCTCGGAAAATCCCATAGTCAACACCTGGTTCCTTGATCCGAAGCTGAAACTGTCGTGGTTTTTTAAGCAAACCCTTCCAAACTCTTTTCCGTCGGCTGGGGTTTCTCCAAGAGTAGGATCCCACTGCACTCTTCTAAACAATGAGAGCTGACGGGGTGTCTTGAAAAAGGGGGCCCTTCAGCCTTCAGCCTCGTTTGCCCATATGTTCTGAGTTAGACTGGCAAGTTGATGTTTTTCCAAGTTTTACGGTCTCAGGCAACAGCTGGCTCCCTCGGAAACCTCGGAAAAATCTGAGAACTGGTCTCACCCTCAAGGGACTACTTGGCCACCACCCCTCCACCCCCCCCGCTTAGCTTGTAGGAAGCCAACGGCCAAAGCCAAAGGGTTTTGGAGGCGAAGGGCACTGATTGGCACCGGGCGGCAGATTTGTTGTTCTTTTTCGAAGGCTAACTCGAGCCCAGGCTGAGCCATTCGAAGAGCTGTCGTCGCTTCAAAATTCGCCAAGAAAGACGAAGCTGCGTGAAGCCTAATCATTCACCCGTCTGAAGGAATGAACTTTCGGGTCGCCAAGCCCCGTCGCAAGAACTTGCCAAAAAACGAGTGCAGCATAAACCCACACGGGCCACAAGGACAGTGGCCAAAGGGAAGGAGACCCCACGTGTGACTCATGCGAAAAGCGTGCAAGAGCCCAATGTGCAGGAGCTAGGATGCATTCATTTTTGTTTGGAGAACCAAAAAAGGCCATAATTCACAAGAAAACTACACTCAAAGTCCAAAACTATGTCCTCCAGTAGAGAGGTTAGAATAAGGGTACCCTTTTTTGTGTAGTCTATTTTAGCAGGGGAACCCTCCCAACCAAAAAAGGGGTGAGAAAGGGCGCTGCTGGGGGACCGAGGCCACAATTCACACAAAAACCCAAATCCCACGGGCGCGGAAGCTGCGGCCGAAGGGCGCTCCAAATATCTCGCTTCTGAACCTCGAATCGAATCCATGGGAGGAATTGATGCGGATGTGACGGGAGTTCGGGTAGATTCCCTTGAAATCCAGGAAGAAAAGGAAAGACACGGATTCATGTCAGCAAATGGCAGCAACATGTGGACAAATATGTGGGGGGTCCATCAATCTTCCATTTCGGGCCTCCAAATGACCACGGAGAACTGTTCAAGCATGTGGGAAACATCATCTTGTTAGTGGGGTTTCTCCCCAATGGTCGACCATAGATATTTTGCTGAACCACAAAACGCGCAGAAGGAAGGCACAAGTTCAGGCACGGATTATGCATCGCGAGTCTAACCAACTGGAAAAATAAATGCGCCATCTTCTGAAGGTCCGGAGGAGCTTTTCTCCAGGGATGGGTTGAGGAAAGGCTAGATACCACTCGGCATATACTGATAGAAGCGGTTCCTTTGGTGCAGCTCCAAGCGCAGTGCCTAGGACATCTCCATTTTCCTTTTGCCTCTGGAGTTCCAAGCCCTGTGCATCTCATTTGAGAAAGGAAATGCCCAGCTTGCGTTGGCGTGGCCTTCCTAAAATGGCCTTCCTAAGAAGCAAAGTTCAGCAACTCCAGAAGAGAGCTCGGGCCATGGCGAGGTTCGGCGATGTTCTTTCACAATCTGGTCTCGGGGACCACTCCTTGAATCAGGTGAACAAATCCAAGCAATCCAATTGAGTGCCTGTGTCACCAAACTATTACTTCCACCTAGTATGGCCATAAAGGCTGAGATCCTGTCTGGGCCGTAAATCAGAGCTGGGGGGAAGGAGAGCGGTGGGGTGGAACTTCGTCGGAGACCACCAGGAACTCCTCCCTAAGGCCTTCTAATCCCCGCTCGAGCGAAGCTCAGTGAAAAATCGGAGGCCCCACTCACCGTCCCAAAGCAACCCCTACCCCACCCATTTTTGAGGAAATCCCATGGCTCAACTTTGAACTGATCTGAGACTCCAGGCGAATCCACTTCCCCTTCAAGGAACCGCCCCTGACTACCTCCCAAAACGACAGCTCTGACAAAGGACGGCCGGGGCTGTCCCGCTGTCCTCAGATCTGCGAAAAGAGGCGGTTTGTTTTTCTCCTGAAAACCCAACCACTCGACCAACTCAAAAACCTACGGACCCTCAGGAACCGGAGGCCTGGGAGCTTAAGCCAAAGCGCAAGCCTGAGCCGCTTCCTGCTCCACGTTTTCCCGTCGGGAACCACCCAAGAACCCCGGGAGCCATGAGCCATCTGTGGCGCCGGGCGTAGATCCCTCGCCCCGGCTCCGAGGGCTTCAGCGGAGACTCCTTGCGGTCAATGTGAGGCATGGCTCCAGGCCGTGGCTCAACATCAACATCTAACGCAGGTGTTGGTCTTGGCGCCAAGAAAGACCAGCCATTTTGGGAAGTTCGGAAGTTCCCATTTTTGAGCCACAGCGATACGGCTCCCTTTTTCCCCTTTCACAAGTAAGCAATCGGTCAAACAGAACTGTCGAGGCACGGGCTACGGGTCAGTGCCGCAGTTACCTGTAGGCTACATGTCTCGAACCCAAATTGAAAACTAACAGGAAATAGTTGGTGGCCAAACAAAAGGCAACTGAGCATAATGAAGCAAATATGCACAATAGGGGCAGACATCTGCCTCTGGAAGGAAACCAAGACGCCCTTGATCGAGGGTCTACCCGGGTTTGGCCATCTTTTCAGAGGCTCGGCGTAAAATGTTGCTTGATTTCAGCGCGAACCCAATGGGCATCGGTTCACAATGTTGGCCTCGAACAAAAATGGGGGGGGGGAAAAACAAAAACAAGTTGATACCACATTAGGACAGCCCCCGAAGCCAACTCGGAGGACCCCATGGCAAGGCTTTGCTGGGAAGCCAAAACCGTTCTCTCAGCAAGCGAGTACTCGGTTAGCTTACCCAACCAATGTGGATGGACAAACTCCATTTCGTACCAGTTCAGATGGATGAAACTCCATGAATACTGAGATCAACCATCTGTCAACTGGTGCAGGATTTCGTCCAACAGTATCTACAGGTAGCACACATTTAAGGAGATTTCAACCAGGACTCGCTGCCACCCAAAAACTCCGAAGTGTGGAGCCGATATCCGGGAAAATTCCGGGTGGAACACACAATTTTCTTTTTTATCTTCTCCTGCTAAGGAAGATCGCAAGCGCACAGATTCCTTGCAAACGAGCGCCCTCCCACCTACTCATGGAACCTGGTCCAGCAGGAGAGAATATAATTAATCAAAGATGCGGTCTAGAGATGCCTAGTTGCTCGCGGTTTGTCCAAAGTGGCAGCCACGTGGTTAAAACTCTTACCTCGTGCGGTCCAAAAGTGCGCCCCCAGAGATTCAGCACGCCGTTTCCAAAGTGTGTAAGGGGAGTCAAAGATCTCTTTGAATTCAAAACGGGGTTTAACAAACATTTCCGGTAGGACCCCTTATGCGGGCTTCCCATCGTGGCTCCGCTGAATCTCTTGCACTGCCCACGACAAGCTTCGAACAAGGCTTGTACACCCAAAGTTGCCTCTGTCTCAAAATCGACGAGAACCCTCGCAAAGGCGGGTTTTTATCCCTTTCCTTTCCCTTTGAACCAAGCCCAAAACACCCAGAAATGGCCAAGGAGGGGGGGGTCCCTTTCGTTTCCCTGAAACCACCGACGCAACGACCCACCAAAACGGTCCTGTGAACTCACCTCACTGAGACCAAAGTCCACCTCGGCGTCCGGCTCTTGGCGGGGGGGGGGGGGGTTCCGGAGATGCCGAGACCGGAAAGTCTGCCAAAGGGATCCTCCAAATCAGCAGAGATATTCGGCATGTTGGACCAGTTCTCCTTCTGTAAAGGAGAATTACGTGCAAGGCGAACAGATTTTCAGAGCACCCCAAAAAAAAGGGGAAGCGTCCTTCACCTTCCCTCTCTCGCGTTTTACATCTTCGGTCTGACTCGCAATTGGTGGACATGAACTTCCGGGACTTAGAAAACCAGGCTCTCAATCAGGTGAGAAAAGGGTACCGTCTCACAAGAATCAGACACGTGGGTTTGTCTCAAAATGGGGGAACCCGTCTTCTCCTTTAAACCAACCCAGAAAGTGTAGACTCAAAAAAAGACAAACCTACCTGCAGAGTTTGGGGAAACAAACAAACAACGATCTTGTGAACAAAAGCACGCTCTTCAAAACGAGTCCAACCGTCCGTTCCCCAAAATCAGACCCAAAAAAACCCGCAATCCCAATCCAGCTAGTCCTATGGGGCATCTGGTCGGTAGGTATTAAAGGGAAACCAAGAGCCTAAACCAAAGACACACACAATACGGGAAACCACGACCATCTCACATAAGGATCTTGCAGATGGGAAAAGGAAGATGGAGGGGTATGCAAGGTCAAAATGCGAATGGGAGCTCCTTTGCTGGGTTGTTCTTTTTTATGTATTTTGGGCGCGCGAGATGGGCTTTGGTTTGTTCCCGCTACCTGCTTTCAACTTCTGGTGCTCGCAAGCTGCAGAAAGCGGCTCAAAACGCATCAAATCACCAGCGGAAACGGACATCAGTCGCCCCCATTTGATCATGAAAAAAGGAAAACGACTTGAAACAAGGGGGATTTTTGACCCCTTGTACCAAAATGGCTTGCCCTGGTACGTGGAAACCTGGACCAAAACCTGCGGTTTGCCCCTCCTGTCTAATTTTGAGCCACACCCATTTTTGACCCCTTGAAGTTTCTCAATCCTTTGACCCCCGGCCATCCGCAACGCCGCATCGTTCCGGCAGTTCTCGAAGCGGAAGTTCTCCTGGCGGTGGCGCTTTCGGCCAGACAAACCCCACGCACGCCCCCCTGCTGCGCTGGCTGACCCTTTGAAAATATATATTTTAAAAAAATGCGGAAACCCCAGTATTGGCCATTCCTAAACGAAATGGCCATTGCCTGATTTCCCTGGTTTTTTCCAAGGAAAGAACCACCCGGGCCGACAGAAAAGACTTGACTCGGACGAAATCCTGCACCACTTTGAAACCACGGAAAACCATTGTTTGTTGGTATTTACTGGGCAATCATTATTTCAGGGTTTCTTAGGTGGTGCAGGATTTCGTCCATCCACAGTAGGGTCTACACCGCGCCAACATGCGCCCAGTGATATCCGGAAAAAGACAGGTTGGGAAAGCGTCAAAATAAGGTTTCGCCACCTCCCCACCCCAGGACTGGTTTTCCGCAGGGCTGGCAACATCCCCGGCATCACCAGCCTTACCTGGAGTGGCCTATTGGCTCTGATTGGGGTGGCAAATGGGAGTTGCTCGGGGCTGGTTTAATTTAGGGGGGTTTGTGGGTTTGATGTAGGCGAAGCGAAGGGCTGATATCCAGGCTTGTTCAGCGTTGACTTTGGGTGGATTTGGGGTAGAGCTGATTTGTGTGCTGGTTAAGCGGGAGACTTTATTGATGCGGTTGCGTGAGTTGTGGTCTAGTGTTGGTGGTTGGGCAACGCTCCAAGACCAATCCTAAACGAGACCACGAAACCACATCCCGAAAGCAAGCCTAAGGCCACGGCTTAACCAGCAGCACACCCAACACAAATCAGCTCCAACCAGTCAACCCTAAAACAGCAGCCTCCGTTCCATTTAGGAAACTACAAACCCCTCCCATGGACGCAATACAGCCTCGCAAAACCAGATAAACCACTGCAAACCCTTGCCATGTGGGGCCCTTTCCTATTTGTCTTGGTCCAAAATCTATGTTGCGCGGTTTATTGGAGAGAAGCCGCACTCAGATCCTTACTTTTTTTGAGGGGGCGGATCCAAATATGTGTTTCCTTTAAAACGATCTAAAAAAGCATACCCATATGTTGAAAACCTTCAAGTTGCAAAACAAGTTCAAAGACATCCCAAATGTAGTCGCCAGATAAGCAACTAGATGCCCTCGCGGAAGACCCTCCCATATATCTGAGCCAAGCACACGCTTCATGGGGTTCTCAGCGGTGGCACCTTTGCGCCCACTTGACCTTTCGCCCGCCGGTCTCAAACAAGCCCCCTCCCTTTGCCAAACAGACGAGGCGAGAGTTCCCTGCAAGCTCCTCGCTCACGTCGTTGTGCGCAATGCCTCCAGCCACCGTTGTGCGGAAGAACATCGACCCTGAGTAGTCAACCCCTCCACTTCTAGATACACGCTCCATGTAGATTGTTGAATTGTGTACTGACAAAAGATCACAACACAACACCATGCATCATGGTCCTCCTTCCTTGTCCTTCTGCAGACACACTGCCCGGCTGAGTTTGACTGGCCAGAAACGGGAGATGACACTGTCGGGGCCTGCACCAAGAAGCAGAAACTGAGTCAACAGGACGGGCTCTCAGAAGCGCAGAGGCCATGGGGCTGTTCCGAAAGCGAGATGCGAGCTTCACACTTAGTTCATTTGGGCTCATGTCCAACCACTTCTCAAAACTCACAGCCTGCCACTCACAAGACTCTCACTGGGTTCACATGAGCCCCTCGCCGTGGCAGTGGCAGCAGAACAAGGCCTGCGCGGAATCGGATTCCGAGGCGATTCCGAGTGTCTCGCTCCCAGCTCCCCATAGTTGTTCTAGTCCAGCCCAGTGGATCCCGGTTGATATAGTAGGTAACCAGCAATTTGTGTTGGTCTTTTTGTTCAATTCTGGCTCCCTTTGTCACCTGCTACACAGGTAAATGGAACCACTGGGCAAACAGAATGACAAAACCCGCACCAAGACCACCAAGATCACCCGGCAAGTCATTCCGGCCCCAAGAGAGGGCCCAGGCATGGCTGGCTTGGGGGTTGGGCTGGTTTCGGGGGTCTTCACACGCAGGTGCGACATGCAGCTCGGGCCACAAGTTGATGCAGTTCACCCGTGTTCACCAAACAAAACCATGCGATTCCTGCTCCTAGGTTTTTCAATGACCGCGGCAGGATGTCTGCAGCTAAGCCGAAAGGAAGTTGTTCACACCATCGCGGCCTAAGCTGTTGCCACAATCGCCGCGGCCGCGCTTTTGCCGAATGAATTCCCCTGAGGCAGGGGAATTTGTGCGCAGTGCGGAGCGGGCGGAGAAGGCGCATCAGCTGGTGTGCCGGGAAACCGCCGCTGGCGAAGGCGAAGGAAGGCGCGGCGGTGTTTTGGCGCCCCCCGACCAAAAGGGACCAAACCCGAAAAGCGTTTTCCTGTAAAGAGGGTTCCCCATAAGGAAGTGGTGAAAGATAAGCCCAAGAGTCGATCCATGGATTCCATGTTCGGATTTCTCCGGTCCCTAGCCCCAGAACCGAGAACCCGAGAACCCAAGCTGCAAGCCGCGGATTGACTCTATGGCCGTCAGGAACAAAGTTAGGTGCTTTCTTGCTGGTTCTCGGCAGGGAATGAGTTGGAACTACCAACCATCCTATGGTTTCCTTTAAGGGATTCGCAAAACCCGGTCTCGGCTTTCCTGTCGCACCAGCAAGCTTTTCAAGAGGTGAAGCGCCCAGCCCGAAAAGCCCTCCCCTGGCACCGAACCAGAAAATGTTGACCGAAGACTTCGAAACTGATCGGGTGACACGATTTCTATCCGGAGTCGTGGAAGTCGACGCCCGTCGGTCACATTGTTTTAACATCATACCGCCAACCCACACCAGTCGTTTAAGGATGGGGTGTTCCTTGTTGTTGACAGACAGCGGTCGAACAGGTTCTCGAGTATCATGATAACCATCCATGACAGGTATGATGATTAAACTCCCCAAGAAGGCAGGGTGAGGCGCTGCTCAACCTATTTGGAGTCTGGGTTTGCACACCCCCAACCATTTTGGTACATGGTCAATCCCCTAGTCTCCCACTGCGAAGCAAGAACCAGCAAGCAAGAAACATCGCGCTGCCGGCACAATAGGCAAAAAGGGGCCCTTTTTTCCCAGAAACCTCCATTTAATGGGTCTACCCGTCTCCGTGAACCTGGCTGGGTCACCCACTGTTCTCGGACGTATGGCTGGCTCGTCTTTTTTCAGACGGGCCTCAAAAATGGCTCTCGGCGTTCTTTTGGTTTCCCTTTAAACCCACGCAACAGGGCCGCCCTCAAAACCAGACAGATCTTTGTGACCCCTCTCTTTTTCGACATCCGACTTCGCCCCTCCCCTTCGCCTTCAGCATGTGGCGCAGGCATCGCACGGCAAAGCTTTCGGAAAACTTGCCGAACTCACCTCGAGTCAACCAGCGCCATTCCCAGAACATGAAACTGGCCTGGGATGGATGAAACCCTCCGGCCACGAAAATATTTATTTAAAAAACAAAAAAATCTTCCAACTGGTGTTGTTTGTTGATTTTCTCCAAAGGTGTTCACTAGTACCAAAAGTTCACATCTTTGCTGAGTCACAACTGGCTTGCAGGGATGGATCGCAAATGAGCAGGACGTAGACTGTTATTTTTCGCGAGCAAATGTGGTTCGTTGTCATAAGGACCACCCCGACGTTTGGACACTGCGAGACGATTTCGCAGCCAACCGTCAACAAAACCTGCACTTCAAGCACGCGCGAACCGTGCCCAGTTAGCCTCATGCCATTCACTTTCCACCACGGAAAATTGGCTAAATACCAACTTCCGAGTATCCTTATCGGGAAAAGGATCGACCCCCATGTTGCATGTGGGTTCCTCTGCTGTCCACCCCGACCAAAGACAAAAAACAACGATCCAATGAAAGCATGAGTCGTCCTTTTTGCCACCAACGGCGGATCAGAAGAGGTTCAACCAAAGCTAGCTCTCCAAAACAACTCTCGCAATCTGCAGCTGCAACCATCTCTTCTTCTAAATCAATGGGTCCAAAAAGATGAGCCTCTTGCATGGTGTTTGAAGGGGGGACCAAAATGAGTTCCCCAGTTTTGGACGTACAAGAATGGGCATCGACAGGAAAGAAACAAAGGCAGAGCGAGGGACAAGAGGAACTCATACCTTGGTCTAAGGAGGCTGAAAAATCAGGTCCTCCGTGGCGCCTTGTTTTTCAGTGCCAGGTAAGATCAAGGATATCTATAGCTTCTTCCCTTGGGAGTTGTTTCACCACCAAGACGGAACAAAAGGTCCGGGGCACATGCGGGGCACTGGCACTTTGCCATGTCCATGATTGGAACGGTATAATTACAGGGAAAACACATGGCAATGAAAATGAGAAACATCAAAAACGAGAAAAGCTTGAACATCGGAGCACAAAGCAACAAAAACGGGAAGCTTCAAAAAATCACGCCGGTTTTCTAACTGTTCCACATGTTTGCGAAATCGTTGGATTTTGGCGGAAGTTGCCTGCTTTTCGCGCTGCTTTTGAGTTTGTTCGGGTTTTCGCACACTTTCGCTTCTTGAATCTTCGAGGTTTGAGCGTTCGCACAAATTGACAGATTTTCGCAGCTTGCTCTATTTTTGTAGCGCAGCTTTCACTTCTTTGAGTTTCCTGCCATCGCAAAGTTGGTGAACGTCTGTGTTCTTCGCAATTGTCCGAATGATCGAATTTCCGGTGGTCCAATACCCCTGGTAGTGGTCTTCGGGTGGCAACCATCTTGGAATGTGACGTTCTTTTTCTTACATAACTTATTTGGGGATGGCTTAAAATGAAAGAGCTGGGGCTGCGCAAGTTTTTGTCTTTCTTCCATTTACCAATATGCCATTTTGAGTATAATACTTTTTGAACCACGGCCATATGCAGTTGCATTTCCTTCGACTCGCTCAAAACCCAAAAACCAAGGTCCAAGCGCATCTTCTCGCCCAAGCTGGGCCCCTGCAGAAGCTCCATGACCAAGAGCACCTCCGAATGTGCAAAGTAATTGTTTGAGGGTTGTAATCTGACTTGGCCCCAAGGGCGATCAACAAGAGTTGGACTTCCAAAGTGGTGGACATGAATCCCAACCTATAAATGATGTCCAAAGGGTCCTCTGTTGAAATTATATTTCTCCCGAGAGTAGCGATGTCCATGGTTGCAGCCATTCGACGACGGCACATTGAGTTGTACACGCCAAAGAGGAAAAAGGGGGTGTCACAACTCTGTGTTTCTGCCGTTGGTTTGGTCCCTTCGGAGCATCCCTGCTTTTACTTCCAATCGGAATGCGTTTGGGCTTTGTGACTACGTCAAAGTTGGAGAACCCAAGAAACCAACCAAGAAGCGCATTTTCGTGGATGCGGTTGGTTCACGCGCAATAGGGAATCACGGGTAAACAACTGCACACTGCTATGTCACGTCCGTGGAAAGAATCGGTCAGATGAAGAACGGTGCTCTAAACTCCTACATGTCTCCTCGCTTTTTGCTGCTAGCCTTTTCTTACAGGCTCCAAAAAGGGGTGGCAGTCTGGGGAAATCGATCTGGATTTGAATTGGAACGCGGGTCCATGTTGCAACCATGTTCTTCAGGGGAAATCGATGACCCCTGATTCATGAGCCCTGGATGATCAGGGGGTATCCCCTTCTAGTGGGGATCCTTCACTTTTCATGGTGACACCCTACTAGGATGGAGATTTACAAATCCGGGGCTCCCATTCTTGGTTCTCTGGGGTGAGACGAGAACCCGTCCAAAAATGGGATCCATGCATGTCCGTTTTTGTTTGCGGGTACTCGACAGTGAGTCTGCCGAATTCCAACCCCTTCCACCCGTTCCCCTTCCCCGAAAATACGAGCAACGGGAATTCGCTGGCATGTTTGAAGGGTGTAGCCTCTTCAGGTCGGTTTTTCTTTGGAAAGAATCAAACCCGAAAACCAGTTTCACACAAACCTCTTTCGCCAAATATGCAAAAACCAACTCCAGCACAGGTCATCTGGTCTTCACCCTGGCGAAACTCCGGCCGATTCTCTCGCCTCGGAGTCCTCCACAAAGTACCTGTGGCCAAGTCCCATTTCAGACAAAGGGCCGGGCGGAATTAATTCCAGGCCCAAGAAAGTGACCCCAGCGACTAACGTGGGCCCATGTGCACACAGCCCCCTTCCAACATGAAAGTAGCCTTTCTACATGTGCACTTCTATGTCAGTTGGTGGGAGGGCAATCTAGATTTAAGCGACTTTGCGGGAACTTGCTCTTCTCTTGCCGGCCAGGACGAAACATTAAGCTGGTGAGACTCGCGTCTTTTGTGACAGGACGCGAGTACCCCTAAGACACCCATGGATCTCCAAGTAGCCCATTGCAAGTAAGGGAGCAAGCAAACCCTCTTTTACTCCCTCAAGTCCCATGGTTTTGTGGAGTACGGCTGGGTTACTTGCGAACAGGGCATCCACCGTATGTTCACATAACGAGAGAGGCTGGCACGTGAAGTCCCGTTGGCCAGAACTCATGTGACGGTCATGGCTTCCTACTCAAATTTTGCCACCCTACAAACAAGATGTTTGACTATGGTGCATATATGGATATGAAATTGAATTGGGAACCTTCTGGTTTCTTCAGTGGTACTGGAGAAATCTCCACGATCTCAAGACTCGCAAGCAGGATATCTCCCCTACCTTCGGGAGGGGGTCCCGCAATTCCAATTATCTTGTCTTTGAAAGCGGAAAATGGAACCACAGGGGTCACCAACTCGCCCAACTCCAGTAAAGGGGCGGGGATGTCAGGATAAATTTCAGGAACCTGGACAAACTCTGCGTAGCTTTCCTTTCCCGGGAAAGGTATCTCCCTACCTGAAACATTCCTTGGACCTGAGGTCTCCTTTGAAAACGGGGTGATATCAAATCAACCTGATACTCCCCCTTGTTTGAGGGCAGAGACTCCAGGTAGATCCATGCAATGCCTTCTGCCTCTCCTGGCATGTCTGAAACACTGGGGCACTCGATGAGCCGCACGATGGCTGGATGATCCAGGGCAATCAGTGCATCGATCTCATTCGCCATCTCCTGTCGCTTTCTGAAGGGCCTGGGGTACTCAACTGGACATCCAGGAGGGAAACCAAGGGGACACTGGGCAAAACTCCATGGCGCAAATGGTTGAGGGCATTGCCAAGGAATGCGGAAGTCGAAGAATCATCCACTGTATGATTTCTATAGAGGGTTCGCCGAACTGAACATATTTTCGAATGGCGTTATAACGAGAACATTTCGATGCATATGGTTTATATACCTGGAGTACAGATCCCCTTTCCTGAAAAGTGTTTTGCCATGGAAACCACGGGAAAACCCTAATTGCAGTAGTTTACAAAGGTTTGGTGTTTGAATTATGGTCGGTTTGCTGAGGAAATCGGTATCCCTATCAAGACCAAGCGTGTTTTGACCAGCCTCGCTGCTTCATGGCACCTTGGAGGGTATCTCGAGGAGAAGCCAAAAAGCGGTTGGCCTCGAACCATGTGACAATGAGAAGGAAGAGCCTCCCAGTTGCCATGGCTAGCCGGCTGATTTATCCAGATCACCTACTCAGCTGAGTTCACTGGGCAGGAAAACAAGAACGAAACACTTGTTGGGCCTGGGCGAAACTCGTGAAAACTGCCAACAAACAGATTTATACGTTTGTCAACACAACGAGTAAGTTACTACGGCACCTGGAAGCACTGGGCAAGAGATGCTTTCTCAGATTTCCACGAGCCTGGGACAAAACTGTGTGTTTCCCGCATGGGCAAATTTGTCGTGCCTTTTTATTGTGAGAAGTTCGGGCTCTCTCAAACTAACAGTAGACAATCAGACACAAATTCCGTCACTCATATGGGCCACCTGCAACATGCTGTTGCTGCGAAAGGGCATGGGAAAACCAGTGCATCCCACCGTTTCTTGCCGGATATTTCAAGAGTCCCCATGTCAATCCCAAGCTTCCCTCCAAATTCAGGAAATGTTGACCAAAACTGGTCCCACTACCCCCAAGCCTAAAGCCCCCCGTGGCTTTTTGTTGTACTGTATATCCAATTAAACTTCGGTTTGGGTAATGGAAACCTCCTTAACCGAAACACAATTCTCTTCAGGCAGCCTTCTCTTCAAGCAGACCTCTGGTTCGGGAAACGGGGTGCCCTCCGATAACGAGTGAACGGAATGTGGACTTAAAAACTTGCCGGTTCTCAGCAGGGAATGAGATAGAATGAGCTATAAACCATCCCCTGTTGCCTTCAACGAAATCAGGTTCATTCCCAGACCTTGGGTCATACTGAGCCCCAGCAAGAAAAATGACCCTTAGATTTCTATGGCACCGCCCTAAATAACGCCCAACCAAACCATAATTCATTGCTTACAATGATTTGACATCCACCACCATAACCGAAGCTCCCAGCACCATAACCGAAGCTCCCAGCACCCAAAAGCACCAACTCTCCCAACGGACTTCTGGACGCCGCCTTCTGCATGGAGCCCTCCGGAGGAAGCTTCAATCTCTTGACCTCAGAAGTCACGAGAGAAAAAGATCTCCGTTGGCCCTGGCCTCAGATCAGATCCGTGTGGCTTGACAGCCCAAGCTGAGCGAAACCTCTCGGTTGCTTTTGACGACCCTTGGCACCTGGAAGCTGCTCTATGATTCCAGCATGGAGTTGGGGGATCAAATTGTTCGATGAACATGGGATGACCACTGCTTGGAGAACCACGAAAAAGAGTTGAGATAGTTCAACCACATGGTTGACAAGTTACCCATGGTCCTTTGGAGGCCGGAGGGAATGTTGATCAACCCCCATATCTTGGACCTCGGCTAAAAAAAAACATAGGACACCTCCTTGTGAATCGGGACTTGAGAATTTCCACAAAGCTCGAACCCAGCTTCTGAGGCCGCCCGTCGCTTTTTGCAGTTCTCATCTGTGACTGTGTTTTTTTCCGCAACGTGCCTGGAAAAGAGCAGCATCTTGGTCATCTAAGCAGTCAAACCAAGCAAAAGCCGTAGCCATGTGTTGTTTAAGTATCAAGAACCACGGGAAATACTTCGCGAAAGCGAAGGGGCTCAGATTTGGGGGACTAAAAGGGATCCCATGAGTATCGTGTTCAATTGTCAACACATGTGCCATGGTCAAAGTCAAACATCATCATCAAAAAAAAAACGAGGACACCGGACATTTTTAGTGATTCCCACATGGCCCTCCCAAATGAACTGGACAAAATATCAAAGGGAACGAAGAAACGGGGCTGTGCAAAGAGTGAACACTTCTTGGTTGCAAGGGAAACGCCAAAAAAAAAAACTAAACAAAAAAGAAGGTGAAAGTTGCAAAAATCCATGTCTGGCTCCGGAAGGCGACCCGCCGCCCGCTTTACGAACCGAGCCTGAGGCCTGGATCTGAAGGAAGCCAAGCTGAAGGAGTTGGTCTGAATGAAACCAACATATGAATTCAGATGGGATGGAAAGCAGGATATGGCTGTAGATGTGATTCAGATGGGATGTAGATGTTTTCAGCTTATGGGATCGACAAAAATAGATTCAAGACTCATCCGATTGGCCTGCCATATATTTTGAGGCACCATTTTCAGTCTGGCAGTCCCAACCAAGTCCAGCAACTGAAGTGAGGCTTGTTGCAGGTTGCAGGCCAGAAGAAAGAAATCGGCCGCTTTCAGCAAATGGCTAAATCGTTCCAACGCGGCACACCCAGATCTGGAGACCCACCCACATCGGCGCGGAAAGAAGGAATGGAAAGAATTGGGATGTCCTTAGAGAGAACACCGCTCACAATGCTTGTAAAGGATCCTTGTTCAAGCGTAGCCAAACCAACCAATGCGGTGCACGATCGCCCGAGTGCGCCGCTGCCCGTTTCATGTCTGCCAGCCTCGTGCGAATCGACGAGATTGGGGTTGAAAATCGCTGGCCCTGGTAGATTATGATCGTTACAACCAGGAATTGCCATCGATTTTCTAACAACCAAAAAGACACAGGCGAGCCCCTGATTCAATGTGACAGACGCCCATGGTGCAAACCAGAAACGCTGGGCTTTTCTGCCGAAATGGCAGCAAAACCCAATGATTCAAAACACACCTGCACTTAGGCCTCTTTTGAAGTGTCCCAACTGATGCTTGGCTGCACTAAATCCCAACCTGGCCCAAGCAACTCACTCTTGTTTCTCCTAGGGGATGGGGTGGCTAGATATTCTGAAGGGATCTTTGCAAGGGCAGATCATGGCTTCTACACTCTGATTCCCTCAGCACAGAAAATGGGCCAAACGCTCCATTTCCTGCAACTCGGGTGTTTGTCCATCCACAATATGACCCCCGCCCTTCCCCCCCTAGCAAGAAAACGAATGAAGCAAAAAATCCAGGGCACATGGCAAGGGCTTCCTTTTGGTTTCCCTTGCAAACCAGGCGAAACGGGGTAAAAACCGGGAGTGTGGCTCAAAAAAAGGAACGCCTCGAACAGATTGCGGGGGTTTCAGGTTTTCGGCCAGCGATGGTGCACCCCGCATTCGCTCACAAGGGCGATCGCTTGCAAGCGCTGGGGCGCCCACTTGTCCACCTTGGACGGTGTCGCAGAATTCGGGGACCCCCCCAAAATGCCTCAGAAACACCCATCTGTTGCAGGGCTGGGTCAGTTGGACACGGTGTTTTGTGCTTTTTTTGGGCGGCGTGGACCCATATCCAGGAGGGCCAAACCCTAAAGAGGTGGATTGTGTTTCGCTTTTGGTACTGACTGCTGTTTACCACTAGCCTGTCATTTTTAGTTCTGAAAAGGTGGTTGCCTTTTGTTATATGTCGAGTTTCTTTTTTTTTGGGGGGGGGGTGTTCCTCCAAGTGATTTGGATTCCCTCTTAAACGGGACCTCTATTATTTAGCAACTGGGGTTCTGTTTACTCTTTGGCCAAAATTATGCCAATGCAGGGGCGTGAGGGCTCCCATTCGACGGATTCGATCTGAGCACTCTGATCTCGTGGCCCAAATTTCGACTTTTGGTGAACGAACCTGGATAAGGTGTAAGGCTTTGCCCCGCTTAAACCGGCAAGAAGAACAAGAAGCTGCCAAGAGGAACGGGTTTTGGACACTTAAAGCACATTTTTCGAGGACTCCTTCAGGTGAGTAGTAGCCTATCGTATCTCACGAGCAAGTTCTGCCAAGAGTTAACCCTGCCAATGCAGGCTGACCACTTGCTCGCCTCAGAACTCCCAAGCCTGAACTTCTTTGGCTTTCCAATCTCCCGAACCAGCAATCCCGCCAAAGCAATCCCAGAAGGGGTGTGAGTAGATGGCGCATGGGACTCCGGACGAACCACCTTGAATTGGATGCTTTAAGGGCACTGATCTGTGCAGGAGAGAGTGGGCGTGCCAAAAGTCCACAACAAATCGTAGTGCTTTGGTTGGCTGAGATGAGGCAAAGGCTGCAAAGCGGCGAACTGATGCCGTGCGGGCAATTCGCACCAAGGCAATCGGCCTTCCTTATGACTCGTCACCAAATTGGAAAGGTTCCCCAGTGCAGTCGGGAACAATCCAAACAACCCCAAAAGCTGAGGAAAACATCAAAAAAAAGGACTTGTATGAAAAAGGCCCGCCGTGCATATTCGGCTGACCCAGAGGGAACCACAACCCTCAGTTTTGTAGATTTTCCCGGAACGCCGTGTTTGGCGGAAAAGCCATATTTCCGAAGAGAGGCTCTGCATGAAACCTCTCTTGAGTGGCAAGGGTTCCCATGGTACCTGTATACTTCTTATTCACAACAAAAGTCATGGGAAGACAACCGATCAAGGGTGCCAGGTGTGGTCCAAGTACGTGGTTGACGCCATACCCCCTCCAAAAATATGTTTTTGTTCAGGGGGTACATGTTTAAAAATATGGCTTCCTCGCGCACAATGCCTGCTTTTCACTCAGGGTTTCACGGACCCTCCAAAAAACCAAGGCGACTTGGACCTAGACATTCAGCCAGGGTTTCTCCAAAAAGACGACAACGCGGCCCAGGCTTGACACTTCGCTCGCGTCCGTTGGGCTCGCTTCCCTGGCTTCGAGGTTTTTTTCTCGGCCGAG